AAATTATTATTACTTAATTTTTATTTTTCGATCAAATATATTGATTTCAATAACTATTATTCAGTTATATTTTTCTGCTTTAAAATTATTATTTGTAAAACTTAAAGGCCACACGGTCGTACCACACACATATGATGATGGTTAAAACTTAAAAAATAAGGACTATTTGCCGTCTTTCATTTATTCATATTGAGACAAATTAAATTATACCGCTATCTTGATTAATCTATTATTAAATTCTACTAAAAATGAAATATTAGCCCGAATGGAATTTTATTATTGTATTTTTTACTAAAGTTCTGAAGTACATGTATATGCGTACTTAGTTTTTAAATATCTTAACTTTAAAGGAAATTTGATTACGACCATTATTTTCGTTAACATTTTAAAATTACATTTCTGAATTCTATCAGTTATATTATAAAATAATTATGCGTTTAAATAGTTAGACCAAAGTGCATTATCGTAGCCATCCGAGGCACTGCTCCAATAATTAGTTGGATATATATAGTATATATTTTACCAAAAATTTACTTACAAAATCACAATAATTGGAAATTATTGCTTAAATTGTCTAATGAATTTGAAACGAAAAGTCAAAGCAAAAGCGAAGCAAAGAAACAGTTACTACGTTTATACGTAAGCTATTTGCAAATAAAAATGATTTGCAAATACCTAACTCACTGTTTATTTGATGGTGAAAAATTATATTTTAATATTGCCTGATAATAAAAAGGCCATAATATGACCATCGAAAATGAAAATAAAATTAAAAATGGCAACGTTTTGATTATTTAAAGGCAAAAGATGACCATCGAAAAAGAAAATAAACTTAAGAATGGCGGCGTCTTGTGATTATTTGCAAATAGTACCAGTAATTAATACTTATTTGCGTGATTTGCAAATAAAAAATTAACTCAGCGTTTATACCGCAAAGTTTACCATTTTGCAAATAATACTTGCGAATAAACGAAGTACCTAACGAAGTGATACCTACGCATACTTTTTTCACAAAATTGTCTGCTCCATTTTTTGTTCCATTAGGGTAGGCATTACTGTAACGCTGGTATGCCGAAATTGCCAAAATTACAACAACCACCCCCTAAGTGACAACACCTTATTATTATTTCACCATGAATGCCAGCAAAAGTCAAATGGCTAACATGGCGGCCAAAATTGTTGAGTGAAACTACCTTATTTTTTCTATTGAGTGAAACTACCTTATTTTTTGTATTCCTCAACCATGTTGTTGTTGTTGTAGCGGCTACTAAGCCCCGCTCGGGTCGGTTCATGCGTCAACGTTGTCGTCAATTTCAGCTAGGGGGAGGCCCAGGAAGTGTGCGACTTCCACAGGGTCTGTCCATAGAGACAGGGGCGTCAGCTGAGTGGGGTTCTCAGGGCATGTGAAGAGGTGCCGGGAGTCATGTGTAGACTCTCCACATGGCGGACATTGGTTGGGCACATCCTCATTGATTCTACTCAGGTCAGTTGTTGTTGTTGTTGTAGCGGCTACAACAACCCCGCCCAGATCGGCTGATATCTCAGTCGTTGTCGTCGAGTTCCACTAACGGTAGCCCCAAGAAGCGTGCAGCCTCTATGGGGTCGGTCCATAGGGACGACGCCGTTAGGGTTGTGGGGTTTTCCGGGCATGCGAAGAGATGTTTCGAGTCGTGAGGGGTCTCTCCGCACGCCGGACATTCGTTCGGCACATCCGCATTTAACCTACTCAGGTAGGAATTTAGCCTGCTGCAGTAGCCAGAGCGAAGTTGGGCTATTGTTGTCCTAGTCTCCCGAGCCAGATGGAGCTCCGTCGCGTCAATGTCCGGTGTTTGTGTGCTTAGAACGGCATTCACAGGTCTTGAGTCTACATAACTCGAGACTGCGTCCATGTGAATGCCGTTCAGGGCCTGTCTGTGAGCTGACGGGTCAGTTCATATAGATGCCTCCTGACGTGCCTCGGCGAGGGCTCCTCTGCAAGTAGCTGTCTATTTGGGTGGCCACATCTGTGGCTCCCAGCAAGAAACTGCTTGCAGAGCATCGTGTTGTGCTCCCTAATTGGGAGCATTTTCGCCTCATCGTGGAGGTGGTGTTCTGGTGACATCAGGAGGCATCCGGTCGCTGTCCTAAGTGCTGTATTTTGTACCGTCTGTAGCTTCGTCCACTGCGTCCTACTAGTCCCCGGCGACCACACTGGTGCTGCGTAGTTTAAAACCGGCCGGCCTATTGCCTTGTATGTTGCCAGCAACGTTTCTTTGTCTTTGCCCCAAGTACTGCCGGCTAGCGACTTTAGGACCTTGTTGCGGCTCTGTACTTTATTGACAATAGCGGTTGCGTGCGCAGAGAAGGAGAGCAGGCTGTCGAATATTACTCCGAGAATTTTAGGATTATTCACCGTCGGAATTGGTGTGTCATCGACGTGAATTCCTAGCGGTAGCCTGACCTCCTTCGTCCAGGTTGTGAAAAGGGTCGCAGAGGAGTGACCATGGACAAATTTAGGACCTGACGAAGGCTGTCACGCTCATCGGTTAGACCAGCCGCTTCGGCAGGGAAGTTTGGGCGTGGGTCGGTGATGCATCCTGCCGGTACGAAGCGGGCTGCAGCAGCGGTGACAGCCCTGCGGAACTTACGTTCACCGAGGTGGACGTGTGGGGAGGGCAGCGAAGGTGTTTTCAGTAAATTCCGCGAAGCCTTTCCAGTCAGCTTTTGAAAAGTTGATATATGTTCGGTGCTCCGCGGAAGCAAAGTCGGTTGGTTTATCGATCGAGATGACTATGGGCAGGTGGTCTGATGCCAAAATCAGCATAGGTCGCCATGATATGCTGTTTATCAGACCAGCGCTGACTATTGTTATGAATGGCGAGCTGCAGCAGCTGCCCATAATCCTGGTGCACGTTGTACCCGGCACAATTCAACAGTGTTGAATTGCTGTGCAACTTTGTCTCTTGGACCACAGCTATCAATATGTCATGCCTTCCCATGAAGACGGTTATCTCCTCGATCTTGCTCTGAAGCCCGTTACAGTTAAATTGAAGGAGCTTCATGTGGTTCGGGAGACGTGTGGTGATGCGGGGTGTGAGGGATGTGTGTGGTCGTGTGTGGTCGTGCCGCGGTTGGCTGTGTGCGCTGCTGAGGTGGTTGCCGCCCTGTGGTGGTGGCGGGAGGCGTCGGAGTTGAGGTCCACGACCGAGCAGCACAGCACGGGCCCTCGAAAATCCTCGTCCAATCTCGCGTGGTGCGCAGACCTGAGCATGCCCTAAAGTGGCACCAGCCAAGGCAGGTGTTGCACTTAACTGATGTCACATTACGGAATATCCTGATCTGACATACCGTGCAGATTGTAGGAGGAACCAGGAGTTGTTGGCGGCGGCGTGCGGGTGGTGGTGTGGTTGTGTGTGTTCTGTGGTCTGTAGCCGTTGTGGTGTGGTCTATTGTGTTATGTTGTTATGCTGTGGTGTTTGTGTGGGACTGCTCAGGTGGACTGGGGTTAGCCGTGTAGGCTGCTCTGTTAGAGCAACAGGAGGCCACAAAAGACATGGTCCACTGCCGATGTGTCCGTAGTCCTGAGCAGACTCTGAGGTGACTCCGCCCCTCGCAAGCATTGCACTTGACAGAGGTGGAGTTGTGGTGTAGTCGTCTCTGGCATACACAGCAGGCCCTGCTTTTGACTCGATGCCAGCCCTGAGTAGGAGAAAACGTATCGAATGTAGCCCTATGGGTTAACAACTTCTGAGATACTTCGCCGACTTAAACGGGGTTAGATCGCCGAAACAACAGGTAAAACTCGAGTCATTCCGGTACGTAGAACCGGCTGTCGTGGGAATGCCTCAGGTAAGAGTTTTAGGCTGCTGCAATAGCCAGAGCGAAGTTGGGCTAATGTAGTGCGGGTCTCCCGAGGCAAACAAAGTTCTGTCCCGTCCACGTCCGTTGGTTGTGTGCCTTGAACGGCATTCACAGGGCGGGAGTCTACATAACTCGAGACTGATTCTCTGTGAATGTTTTCCAGGGCCTGTCGGTAAGTTGACGAGTCCAGAGGTTATCTAATAAACCTCTGGACTTCGTCCGTCTGTTCGTAAAGATGCCTCCTGACGTGCCTTGGCGAGGGCTCTTCCGCGAGCAGCTGTCCCCTGAGATGGCCACGTCTGTGGCTCCCAGCAAGGAACTGCTTGCAGAGCGTTATGTTATGCTCCTTGATTGACGGTTGTGGTGTTATATTAGCCGAGAAGGAGAGCAGACTGTCGAAGGTAACTCCGAGGATTTTCGGGTTATTCACCGTCGGTATTGTTACGCCATCGACGTGAATACCCAGTTGCAGTCTGACCTCCTTTGTCCAGGTGAATAGGGTTGCCGAGGATTTCGTAGGGGATAGGGCAATGCTCCTTGCAGTGAAGAAGCGAGAAAGTTCGGCGAGATAACCGTTCACTTTGGAGCACAAGTCATCAATTCCATTCCCAGACGCCATGATCGAATAATCGTCTGCATAGGAGCCAAAATTAACACCCTCTGGTGTTTGAGGAAGCTTTGAAATGTAATAATTAAACAGTAGTGGGGACAGAACACCGCCCTGTGGTACCCCCTGTTTAATTTTACGTGGCTTGCTAGTTTTGTCTCTGAAAATTACTGACGAGTGCCGACCACTCAGGTATTTCGCCGACCACCGTTTGAGTCCCTAGTAGCGTTGAATGACTGACAGTGTCGAGCGCCTTGGACAGGTCCAACGCTACTAGAATAGTTCTCTCACTGGGGCGGTTTCGGTTAAGGCCACGAGTTATCTGAGTGTTTATGGCGTTAAGTGCTGTCGTTGTGCTATGCACTTTACGGAATCCATGCTGATGCTTCGCTGGGGTCAGGTGGTTCGTAAAATACGGGAGCAGCAGGGTGTCTTCGCTACCTCAGCTGAGGATTGCTCTATAATGGCGTCTGGGAATGGGATTGATGACTTGTTCTAGAAAGATGTAGTATACTCTTTTAGGATTTGTTGTTTTTAAAAAAAATTGTAAAAGTAACATTAAAATTACTACTTTATATATTTGTATTAAATTTTGCACATTAAATACATAACTAACATCTAAGTGTTTTAATTTTGTTTGTGTTCACTTATGTGTGCATACATTTCACAAACACATTTCACATAAAACATACCCTTAGGGCCAGTTTTTCAGTTGTTGTTGTTGTTGTAGCGGCTACATTTTTCAGTGCACTGCTGGGGTTTAAATGCTCGAGCTGGCTGGTTTAAACTAGCCAATAAAATGTCAGCTAGCTGTTCAACGTGATCTAACTTTAAACTGGCCCTGAAAAACTCGCCTTAAAGATTGTCCTTAAATAAGTGTACAATTTTTATTTATGTACATAAGTACTTCTAAAAGAGATTTTGTGAGTGCACACATACGGCGTAAAAATTTACAACATTACACTGCGGCTATAATCACAGACTCGCATTCAATTAAATTTAAACCTGGATTGCTGCCGTTCATTTGCTTGTTGACTTTTTAAACTTAGCACTAAAATCTATTTGGCCTTTACGTATTTGCTATTTACAATTATAAATCTAATCACTAAAACATATATATATATATAAATTATATATATATGAATATACATATATAATTCACGAAGTTTTACAGATTCTAACCGTATAATTTTAAAAATTATAAAAGAAATAAAACGTTTTATGCTAACATCCTCGTCTCAAATATATTCGCTACTGCTGTATTGTGTTCCTCTGTGCGCTTTTGCAGAAACGGAATTATAAGTGGCTGGAGTTTGTTGGAGGTAAATGAGCTCCGGTGGCTAGCAGTTCGGTCTATAAGTGCCGCCCAGAGCACGATCAGTAGCGACAATTGACGCACCCGACAAATTGACGTGCTGTTGTTGTTGTTGCACCTGCTGATGGTGTTGTTGTTGTTGGTGCGGATGTTGTGCGACATGTGGTGTGGCATTTATAAATATATTTGCAGCACCTGCACTAACATGTGGGTGCTGGTGCTGCTGCTGTTGTCCATGTTGTTGTTGGGCTTGTACCTGAGCAGCAGAAACGGTATGAGAGGTAGTGGCTGGAGCGTTAGCGGGAGTATTGAGCTGCAGCAGCTGCTGCGTTGCACTAGGCTGCATTTGCAGGCGGAGCAAATTCAATTGATTTGCGTTTATTGCAATCTAAAAAATATGGAAAATTTTGATATTAAAAGATTTAGCTCAGTTGTTGGATTTGGAGTACTTACGGGTACGTTTGTTATCTCGCCCGAGGGCGTCACAACCTGTTGTAAAAGTTGTATTTGTGGTTGCTGCTGCTGTTGTTGGTGTTGCGCCAAATTTTGCAGTAAAGCAGCTTGTTGCTGTTGTGCTGTATTTGCCGGCGCTGGAGTTGCAGTGAATTGTCCATTCGGTCCAGCCGTCAGTATGAGTTGTTGCGGTTGCTAATGAAGGAAACAAAGTCCGGATTTATAAAAATACAATAAATATGATACACCTACAATTTTAATTTATTCTAAGAAATCTACTCACATGAGTGGTTATAAAATATTGCGGTTGTGCCGCTTGCTGTATAATCTGTAGTTGTTGATGTGGCGCTGCATTTTGCCCGTGTGCGGCATTCAGAGCTTCTGGAGTAGCAATATAATATTGCATCTGCTGCGGATGAGTAGCGGATGGCTGTTGTATGATTTGCAGTTGTTGCATTGTAGGGTGTGCTTGCTGGGAATGATGTTGTTGAGCTGCAGATGCTGCAAGTGTATCTGAGCTGATGGTGCCAAATGTCAATACTTCCCCATCGGCAGTTTCCATTTTTACAGGTAGAGTTACTGTGCCAGCCGTCATTACAGCAGCAGTTGCAGGCGTACTGGTTGAGGAGTTTACCGTAGCATGATGCTGTGACGCTTCTTTTCTTGTGCCACTACTAGCAGTAGGTTTTATATCTTCCCGAGGCACAATATCAATTAGAAAATCAAATTGGTCATAATTGGCAATCGCTTGAGCAATATCAGAGCGCTGGAGCGTGCGTCGTTTGCTTTCTTCGGTATGTATCCAAGCCCGCATTGTCAGCTCCTGTATAAAGTATTCACAGGCCTTGGCAAAGAGAAGAGGTGCTTCGGCTGCAATCATTTTTGCGTTTTCATCCAACTTCATTATTTTTTTTATACGCGCCAGTGGCAAAGCTTGATGTTTAGCGTCTACTTGATTAATACCCCTCACGTCGGCCATAATGTTCTGCCAGAAGTTATCGATGGTGGGAGGTGGCTTACGAGCAGTAGCTGGTCGTGGACTTTTGGTAGATTGCTTCTGATTGGAATTGCTAGGCGCACTGCTGCTGCTTACTAACACATCACCTGATATGTTAAATGTTCCAGATGAAATGACTTGGCTCGCATTCACCGAATTATTGTTGGGGCCATGACGACTACCACTGGTGGTGGCAGTCACATTTACAGACCCGCCACTATTACTCGGCGCGGAAGAGTATGTGTGCGACATTTTTCCTGATAGCAGTCAATAGCCTGTGTGGTGTATTGCTAATATTTCGATAAATCCACACAATAAATTACAAACGGAGAAAAAATTAGCCAAAATATAATTCTGGCGTCAAACTAATCACTGTTGTGTTCCAATTTTGATAGGTTTCACAATTTCCATCTTCTTGGTTAAGTATGATTCACAATGAAATTTTAATTGTAATAGATTGCGGGGCTTGAAGAACGTAGGTACACCTCGTTAGTTTGAAAATGTTCCGTTACCAAAATCTATGAGACAACTCGATACTTTGGAAATGTGCCGCGACAATTTTGACCGTGTCTGAAATGTTTACAATTCGTCTCCGTTTTGACTCTGTCCGCCGCAAAATTTTTTATTTTCGTCTCGAATACGGAAAACACTTACAAAACATAAGAAAGCGGCAAATGTGAATTTCGGTTAATATTTTGCACAAATGACATTTCATTCATAAATTAAAACTTCGCAGCTTCCTACTACATAGCGCATGCATTTAATTTCCTTACATTTGTTTAAAATTACAGAAGAAAAAAAATCTACGCAAATACGCATGTTAAATGCCGACGGCAAATAAACAAAAAGAGTCCGTATTTCATTTCTTTGTTTCTATCAACGATCACTCCTTCTTCAAAGTTCTTTGTCGCGGCAAAATCAAATTTGCTGCGAATTCCTTTCCGAAACTTGATCTCAAAACGGACGCGAATTCCTCTTGCAAACCTTCTAGACTCACTCGCCACACTTCAGCGAGTTGTCTCTTCTTATAGATATACGTTCTTTGCCGGTAAATTTCTAAAGTAACGAGTTGTCTTATAGATTTACGTTCTTTGGTACAAGTCTGGCAAGGAGCCTTGTGCATTATTGTGAATGGAAGATAAACTTCCAGAGAACGTATTTCTCTGTTACGTTCTGTGACTTCTCTGTGACTTCTCTGTGGAATATCTGTTATCAATATTCCATTTCACCCTGTAACAACCGGCACTTTATTTGATGTATTGTGTTTATCGTAGTGTTTACAACTAAAATCCTTTTAAATCTGAAGGAAGCTCAGTTTATTTTTTCTGTTAAATATGGAGAGCCATTTCTGGAAAATATTTACAATTTCGAGTGCTGTCAAATTTATGCTTGCCGCGTCGCCGTAAGTCTGAAATCTTGCAACTTATCGAGAGAATTAAAACTGACGTGTCATATAGACATTCCACAGATTTTGAGGTGCATCGCAACTGGCTCGCAATAACACATTCTCTGCCAATGAAGGATTGGTATTATGACGAAACCAGTGAATGGACACTTGATTATCCACCATTCTTTGCGTATTTTGAATGGCTCCTCTCTCAGGTGGCGCGCTATGTTGATCCGCAAATGCTGGTTGTTAAAAACCTTAATTATGCATCTACTGCAACAATATACTTTCAAAGATGTTCGGTAATAGTTACGGACTTGTTATATTCATATGGTGCATGGCGATGTCTTCGCGCGTTAAACATTCCCAAAAGGTCACAAAGCCATTTTGCAGGAGAAGTGTTGCTTTTGTTCAATGTGGGATTGCTTTTTGTAGATCACATTCATTTCCAGTACAATGGTTTCTTATTCGGTTTACTGTTCCTAAGTATTAGCTTATTGCTGGAAGAGCGCTACTTGCTTTCAGCATTCACTTTTGCAGTTTTGCTAAATTTTAAACATATTTTTTTGTATATGGCACCTGCCTTCGCGTTTTATCTATTGAAGTTTTATTGCTTAGATGTTGGACGCAATCCATTCATATCTATAGCCAAATTAGGAGTTGTTGGATTGACACCCTTCGTAGCTTCATTTGGACCCTTTTATGATGATTTGCCGCAGGTAAGGACTAATTTTATAAAAAAAATCTTATTTTTGTATTTCTTTTCCAGGTTGTAACTCGCCTTTTTCCTTTTAAACGGGGGTTGACGCATGCTTATTGGGCACCTAATTTCTGGGCACTTTACAATACTGCTGATAAAGTTGCCGCGAGATTGCTACATATTAAAAATCCATCTGGATCCACAACTACCTCCGGATTGGTGCAAGAATTCCAGCCAATCATCTTGCCGAATATCACACCACGCACAACTTTTGTGTTAACGGTGTTATTCATGTTACCAGTTTTAATAAAACTATTTTGTTTTACAACGAAAAGGTAGCTATTTTAATTTGACTAAAAAAATGTATGTCGTATCACAACGATTTTATTTTGAAGCACGTCGAAAATTAATTTTCTGCGCGCAGTTGTTCTTTGTTCTTGTGCCTCTTTCATGTTTGGTTGGCATGTTCACGAAAAAGCGATACTTATGTGCCTTTTGCCTTTGAGGTAAGTATTTTGAATATGAGTGTGCCATGTGCTATAATTTCTTCGCTTCTCTTTCCAGTTTGCTCTGTTTGCTTCACCCTGCGGATGCCAAATATGCTTTCTGGCTTGGTGTAGTTGGATATTTTTCCCTCTTTCCTTTACTATTTCAATCAAACTTGCTGTTGCTGCGCTACTCATTGTATCTGGGTTATATCGCGTTCATGTACGGTCAGTTGGTGCGTCTACATCCAAACTCACCGGATTTGAAAATGTACCTAATAGAAGATATTTACATATTTGGTTTCTTATTGCTGCCCGTCTACGAGCATTTGCTTAGCCCTATTTTGGGTCTACAAGAGAAACTTCCATTCATGCCGCTATTGCTGACCTCGCTCTATTGCAGCGTAGGCGTAATTTACTTTTTTATTTCATATTATTTACATATGCTAGATCTAAGTCACAGAATATTTTTAAGATCTACCTTCAATTTACTAGCAAAATCAAAATTGAATGAGAAACTTAAGGATAAAGTGAAGTCCAAAGCGAAGTCAAAACCGAAGGTGCAATAAACATAACTGTTGTATTTTGATTCCGTAGTGGTTTTTTCGTTGAAGCGGCACAGCCCAACCAAGCACTTGAAGTGCGCCTGGGATAGCCGCGTACGGGCCGAATATTAACGTTGTCATACAACCAGTAAACATTGTTTTTAAAGAAATACGTTTTGCCATTATTCAACGTCGCTGTTGCATCCACATTGTTGGGAATGCCGTGCCATCGACGCATCGACTTTGGATAGCCCTCGTCCAGTATTAGCAAACGGTCATTGTATCGCCAAAACTTGTCACCGAAAAATATATACGTCAAATTATTTTTAGCTGAAATGAAAAACATCTTATTAATAAGTTTATTATCCTGTGTGCTGCAATCAAGAACATACGCCACAGCATAGCTGCATCAATGTTAGAAACGTTGCCAATCAAGTTAGCTATCGGCAGAGGGCTATTTTCGATCGGAACAGGAAGGTTGCTTTGCTCGTAGCGGAACAACCAATATTTATCACCTATTAGAAAGGTAAGATTAGTATGTTGCTGGCAAAAATGTAAAATGCAAAAAATGTACCTGCGAATAATACTCCAACTCCGTCGTAACGTTGATAAGCAGCATCGATACGTTTAACGTATGTTGGCATAAATGGAAACATTTCGTATAAATTCTGTGGGTAACTAATTAAAAAAGCTTTATTAATAAAATATGAGAAGTTTTTGCTCAAAATACCCGTTTTTTATTGCATAACGCGATGTGAGTTGGTATACATATTCATTTTTGAAAACATGAACCGTTCCGTTTAAAACGCTGACCGCATCAAAATTGCCCAGGCATATATTTGGTTTCTTTGAAAGTCCTGGTTGAGGTGTGTTTGTCACTGTCGTGCGTAACGTCGCACGACTTGTCGCGGGTTCCGCAGGTTGTGTGGTTGCAAAAACGTGGTCCTGTGGATACATACATACGTATACCTAATTTCTAATTATTCAAACATATATATTCTGTGTTCGTATGGAAAAGTAGCTTATGTCGAAAGGCCGGCTTTAGTATAATGCGGCATTCCCTTTTTTTTTAAACGACAAGGAATTTTTTGATGAGACTTAAAAAGAATATTGACTTGCTAGTATCGGAACTATTTCTTGCACGTTTATTTGCTAAAAGTTGTTTAACGGCTTAGCGCCCGTAAGTCATTCGCAATCGTATGCTGCGAATGCCGATTTTTACTAAAGCCAACCTTTCGACATAAGCTACTTTTCCATACGAACACAGTATTTATAAAAGTCTGGCACATTACATAACCAGAACCATAGAAATCCATATTTCAAGCTTCGTACAAAAATGATAAAAATTCAACAAACTTTAACAATTACACCGGCACACAAAATAAATTAGTGTAATGTGCATTTGACTGGACCTACATTTGGTTATGTATTTCGAATCGCAGAATCCGAATTTGAAGTCATTTTGATCAATATACCTCCTAGATTTCGAGAAAACTTCAAAAAACGGGTTTTAATTGGCGATTTTCGCAATTTTTTACGGTTGTTTGAAGTTTTCTCGAAATCTGTCTGGAACAGGCCCCATACTTTATAATATATATATATATATATATATATATAATATATAATATGGAAGAAAATGCACAACACCGTCAGCCAAAAAAGGTATTACAAACCAACGCGATTTTCTGTCGTCTTGGTCATTAAGCTGCCTTTACATGAGGCGATTTTTGGACAGGCTATAACCAGGACAGGACCATGGTTGCCACTCGCCAACATTTTTTTCTACCAAAATCTCTTAAGAAAGTTACCAAATCTTCACTACCAAAATCTTCACTTCTTCAGTGAGAAAAAAATATACTGAATAACACTACTATATTTCATAACAAATGTGTATATACTTAAAGCCCGGTTCTTTGCACTTAATAAATTCAATATTTTTATAATTTGTCGATTTTTGATTATTTATCAAGAACTCCCAGTTCTAGCACAGATGTTTAAATCAATTTTCTTAATAAATTATCAAGATTGAAAATGCTATTGACAATTATAATATTTTTTTTATACCCGAGCGCACTTGTGCACAAGGGTATATTAATTTTGTTCACATAACGGTTGTTTGTAACAGCCAAAACGAATCGAGATAGATATAGACAAATGTATACATAAATGATCAGGATGAAAAAAGAAATCGATTAAGCCATGTCTGTCTGTCCGTCCGTCTGTCCGTCTGTCCGTCTGTCCGTCTGTCCGTGTACACGATAACTCGAGCAAAAATTGAGATATCTCAACGAAATTTGGTATGTAGGTTTCCCTTAATCCAAGGTAGGTTGGTATTGAAAATGGGCGAAATCG